GGCATCGGCTCTTCTTCACTACACACAAACAGAGAGACCGGAGCGAGAGAGAGAGTGGAAAGTAAGGGTTGGAGACTGCCCTTGTTTTCACCATGGGGCCTGATGAAAATTAAATTTTTTAATGTTTTATGATGACCAGTTTTAGGTTTTTTGCATGATTAAAATGGCATCTGAATCGTTCGAAATAAACAGTAACAAATGGACTAACAAACACACACCCTTCAATTATCAGTGAAGTAAAATCAATCATCAACTGTACTGTAAAAAAAATTTTATATGCCGTATACAGGGACTCTTCTACCTATGGACTTTCGACTTACGATCTTTCAGAGATATAAACAACCTGTTCGTATAATTTTTTTTTTTACCCTTCTATCTGGCAACAAAACTGACACCTTTTTTACAAGGAGTCATGTTTGCATAGACCACAATACCTGCAGTCATAATGCAAACAAAAAATATAACTCTGCTAATGTATGCACTGTCCTTGAAGATGAAAAGTAGTCAGTTTTGTTGCCAGATAGAAGGGTAAAAAAAATCAATTATCATATTTTTTACTGGCAAATGAGGTTCCAATGGTGTAAACCTGATCGTATGTCCAGTTGTCGGTTTGGACCGAGAGTCATAAGTTCAACTGCCGATAGGTGGCAGTGGTGGCATCTACATCTGCAGAACGTGAAGAACCAGTGGCATCTACATCTGCAGAACGTGAAGAACCAGTGGCATCTACATCTACAGAACGTGAAGAACCAGTGGCATCTACATCTGCAGAACGCGAAAAACCAGTGGCATCTACATCTGCAGAACATGAAGAACCAGTGGTATCTACATCTACAGAACGTGAAGAACCAGTGGCATCTACATCTGCAGAACGTGAAGAACCAGTGGCATCTACATCTGCAGAACGTGAAGAACCAGTGGCATCTACATCTACAGAACATGAGAACCAATGGCATCTACATCTGCAGAACGTGAAGAACCAGTGGCATCTACATCTGCAGAACGTGAAGAACCAGTGGCATCTACATCTGCAGAACACGAAGAACCAGTGGCATCTACATTTGCAGAACATGAAGAACAAGTGGCATCTACATCTGCAGAACATGAAGAACCAGTGGCATCTACATCTGCAGAACGTGAAGAACCAGTGGCATCTACATCTGCAGAACGTGAAGAACCAGTGGCATCTACATCTGCAGAACACGAAGAACCAGTGGCATCTACATTTGCAGAACATGAAGAACCAGTGGCATCTACATCTGCAGAACATGAAGAACCAGTGGCATCTACATCTGCAGAACGTGAAGAACCAGTGGCATCTACATCTGCAGAATATGAAGAACCAGTGGCATCTGCAGAACGTGAAGACACAGTGGCATCTACATCTATAGAACATGAAGAACCAGTGGCATCTACATCTGCAGAACGTGAAGAACCAGTGGCATCTACATTTGCAGAATATGAAGAACCAGTGGCATCTGCAGAACGTGAAGACACAGTGGCATCTACATCTATAGAACATGAAGAACCAGTGGCATCTACATCTGCAGAACATGAAGAACCAGTGGCATCTACATCTGCAGAACATGAAGAACCAATGGCATCTACATCTGCAGAACATGAAGTACCAGTGGCATCTACATCTGCAGAACATGAAGAACCAATGGCATCTACATCTGCAGAATGTGAAGAACCAGTGGCATCTACATCTGCAGAATATGAAGAACCAGTGGCATCTACATCTGCAGAACGTGAAGAACCAGTGGCATCTACATCTGGAGGCTCTTGCCAAGAACATCCGCTCAAACTGGCAGCAGTTTGGTGAAGAATCCTGATACTGCTGATGGGATCCAGAAGGGTCAAAACTGGCCCAGAGTTTTGTTCGCCTCAACAGTTTTTTTTGGAGTGAGATCGCGTAAATATAAAACTGTGTCATTAAACCCACCACCACCCGACACAGCCAAATTAGTAAGGTTTGTTACGTAAACAGAACATGCCAATTCGTTACTAGTACAGCACTAGTGTAGTGTATAGTTTATTGTATATCAGTGTAGTGTATAGTGTAGTGGATATTGTAGTGTATAGTGTAGTGTACTAGTACAGCAACACCGGTGTGTTGCAGAGCCAAGCCACGACATCTACAATCTGAGTACGACGTTTCGCCAGGCGACAGCCAGAAAAAAACGCTGTTATTATGAATGATATTGGTCGCTCAAACCTAAGTGTTCACACTCGCTGCCGAATAATGTTGGTCTGGAATGCAAACGGAGGCCAGGTGGGCCGAAAATAATTGAAAAATCTTGATTTGAAGTTTTCGTGACTGCAGGAATCCATACTCGTTGGTTCTTTCGGTAAAGTCACGTAGGTAGAAAAATAAAATAAATCACGACGTTTCGGGCGTAACGCAAACGTCCATCATCAGGTGGGCAAGCGTGGTCTGCTGCTGAGGCAGACTCTTTTAAAAGGTTGAAACATGTTTTTGCACGTTGAGACACGGACCAGAGTAAATGCGTCTGCAAGTGCAAACGTTTGGTCGGTCAGTGGGTTGTTGGGGGGTTTGCACCTTCTGTGGCCGTCTGGAACGCTCTTCCTTCCGGTATTAGGAAGCTACTGGAGCTGTCCACTTTTAAATCGTCTAGATTGAAAACCTATTTTTTTAGAACTGCTTTTTTGTGTTTAGTTTGTTGTTAGCTCGGTTGGCTACGTACGGTGCAAAATAAGTTCAACACCCATAGACTCACGCAGAGACCCATAGACTCACACAGAGACCCATAGACTCACGCAGAGACCCATAGACTCACACAGAGACCCATAGACTCACGCAGAGACCCATAGACTCACGCAGAGACCCATAGACTCGCACAGAGACCCACAGACTCGCAAGAGACCCCTAGACTCACACAGAGACCCATAGACTCACACAGAGACCCATAGACTCACGCAGAGATCCATAGACTCGCGCAGAGACCCATAGACTCGCACAGAGACCCATAGACTCACGCAGAGACCCATAGACTCACACAGAGACCCATAGACTCACGCAGAGACCCACAGACTCACGCAGAGAACCACACAGAGACCCATAGACTCACACAGAGACCCACAGACTCACGCAGAGACCCACAGACTCACGCAGAGACCCATAGACTCACACAGAGACCCATAGACTCGCACAGAGACCCATAGACTCACGCAGAGACCCATAGACTCACGCAGAGACCCATAGCCTCACACAGAGACCCACAGACCCACACAGAAACCCACAGACTCACATAGAGGCCCATAGACTCACACAGAGACCCATAGACTCACACAGAGACCCACAGACTCACACAGAGACCCATAGTTTGTTGTTCTTTCCCCGCATCTCCGATTGCCACGGTTTGGCTACGTACGGTGCAAAAGAAGTTCGACGTACAAACGGTGAGGGGGGGGGGGAGATTAGTGGCATGAAAGAGTTACACACAACACAGAACAACAACACAGAACAACAACACAGAACAACAACAACACAGAACAACATAAGAACAACACAGAAGAACAACACAGAACAACACCACAGAACAACGAACAACACAGAACAACACCACAGAACAACACCACAGAACAACAACAACACAAAACAACACCACAGAGCAACAACAACAACAACACCACATAACAACACAGAACAACAACATAGAACAATACCACAGAACAACAGAACAACAACAACAACACCACATAACAACAACACAGAACAACAACAACAACACAGAACAACACCACAGAACAACACCACAGAACAACAACCACAGAACAACAACAACAGAACAACAACAACAACACCACAACAACACCACAGAACAACAACTGAACAACAACAGAACAACAACAAGAACACAGAACAACGACAACAATACTCGACGTATGTTGCTGCACCTGCGTGGACTTTGATCGGCTCGAGAGTGCAACCATTATTGTTGTTCAAGACTCCATAAAACTAAAACGAGAGGCAAGACGGGAGGGGCGGTGGCTGGGAAACCACATAATTAATTAAATAGCCGCTTAGTGAAAGTTTACCGTTTCGTAAATGGTTTCGCACAAAAATAAAATATAAATATAAACCCACCCACAAGCACACGTAACACCACGGTTTAGTTGTTTGTCAATCACCCCCCCACCACCAACACCCCACCACCACCACTACCCCCCACCATTCCCCACCACCCCACCACCACCACCCCCACCACTACCCCCCCACCACCACCACCCCCCCAACCACCACCCCCCACCAATCACCCCCCCACCACCACCACCCCCCCACCACACCCCCACCACCACCCCCCCACCACACCACCACCCCCCCACCACCACCACCACCACCACCACCCCCCACCACCCCACCACCACCACCCCCCCACCACCCCCCCACCACCACCACCCCCCCACCACCACCACCACCCCCCAACCACCACCCCCCACCAATCCCCACCACCACCCCCCCACCACCCCCCACCACCACCACCACCACCCCCCTCCACCACCCCCCTCACCAGCACCAACCCCCCCCCACCACCCCACCACCACCGCCCCACCACCCCCCACCACCACCCCCCCATCACCCCCCCCACCACCACCTCCCCCCATCAGCCCCCCCATCACCTCCACCACCCCCTCTTTTCCCCGCACACCCGAGGTGACTATTCCGGTTAGACCGGTGCTGCGTGTCGCGCCGCGTTCCTGCGAGCCCAGGCGACGACTCGACTCGTGCTGCCGCTGCTGCTGCTGCTCCCCGTGATGACAGTGGAGCTCGGTGTGTCGCTGTGCTGCTGTCTAGATTAGATTCTCGTCGTCTTCTGTTCCTCCACCACCACCCTTCTTCTCTTCTCTTCCCTCCCTCTCTCAACATCTTCCATCCCACCATCTCTCAAACGTCTTCCTTACCTCCCTTCCTCACTCACTCACTCCCCTTCCCTTCTCCCTCCCTCCTCCCTCCTCTGCTGCTCGGCTTGCCGCAGCGTATTCTCAGTCCTTAGACAACCACGTGGGTCCCGGCTCCAACTACATGGGCAGCCCGGAGTACAAGAGCGCCCTGCCTCCACCCTCGCCCGGACGATACTCGCCCATCTCCTTCTCCAAGCAGCCCATGATGGATGACGAGCACACGCGGTGAGGGTGGCACACGCGGCACGCGCTCGCTCGCTCGCTCGCTGGCACACTCGTCCACCCACTCACTCGTCCACCCACTCGTCCACCCACTCATTCACTGGCTCACTCGCCCACCCACTCACTCACTGGCACACTCGCCCACTCTCTCACTCACTGGCACACTCGCCCACCCACTCACTCACTGGCTGGCACACTCGTCCACCCACTCACTCGTCCACCCACTCATTCACTGGCTCACTCGCCCACCCACCCACTCACTCACTGGCACACTCGCCCACTCACTCACTCACTGGCACACTCGTCCACCCACTCACTCGTCCACCCACTCACTCACTGGCACACTCGTCCACCCACTCACTCACTCGCTGGCACACTCGTCCACCCACTCACTCACTAGCTGGCACACTCGTCCACCCACTCACTCACTAGCTGGCACACTCGCCCACCCACTCACTCACTGGCACACTCGCCCACTCACTCACTCACTGGCACACTCGTCCACCCACTCACTCACTCGCTGGCACACTCGTCCACCCACTCACTCACTAGCTGGCACACTCGCCCACCCACTCACTCACTGGCACACTCGCCCACCCGCCCACCCACTCACTCACTGGCACACTCGCCCACCCACTCACTCACTGGCACACTCGTCCACCCACTCACTCACTCGCTGGCACACTCGCCCACCCACTCACTCACTGGCACACTCGCCCACCCACCCACTCACTCGCTGGCACACTCGTCAACCCACTCACTCACTAGCTGGCACACTCGCCCACCCACTCACTCACTCACTGGCACACTCGCCCACCCACTCACTCACTGGCACATTCGTCCACCCACTCAATGGCACACTCGTCCACACACTCACTCACTCACTTGCACACTCGCCCACCCACTCACTCACTGGCACACTCGTCCACCCACTCACTCGCCCACACACTCACTGGCACACTCGCCCACCCACTCACTCATTGGCACACTCGTCCACTCACTCACTGGCACACTCGCCCACTCACTCACTCACTGGCACACTCGCCCACCCACTCACTCGCTGCACACTCGCCCACTCTCTCACTCACTGGCACACTCGCCCACCCACTCACTCGCTGGCACACTCGCCCACCCACTCACTCACTGGCACACTCGCCCAGCCACTCACTCACTCACTGGCACACTCGTCCACTTTCTCACTCACTGGCACACTCGTCCACCCACTCACTCACTGGCACACTCGTCCACTCTCTCACTCACTGGCACACTCGTCCACCCACCCACTCACTCACTGGCACACTCGTCCACCCACTCACTCACTGGCACACTCGTCCACTCTCTCACTCACTGGAACACTCGTCCACCCACTCGCTCACTGGCACACTCGTCCACCCACTCACTCACTGGCACACTCGCCCACCCACCCACTCACTGGCACACTCGCCCACTCACTCACTCACTGGCACACTCGTCCACCCACTCACTCACTGGCACACTCGCCCACCCACTCACTCACTGGCACACTCGCCCACTGGCACACTCGCCCACTCACTCACTCACTGGCACACTCGCCCACTCACTCACTCGCTGGCACACCCGTCCACCCACTCACTCACTGGCACACTCGTCCACCCACTCACTCACTGGTACACTCGTCCACCCACTCACTCACTGGCACACTCGTCCACCCACTCACTCGCTGGCACACTCGCCCACTCACTCACTCACTGGCACACTCGCCCACTCACTGGCACACTCGCCCACTCACTGGCACACTCGTCCACCCACTCACTCACTCGCACACTCGCTCACCCATTCACTCACTGGCACACTCGCCCACCCACTCACTCACTGGCACACTCGCCCACCCACTCACTCACTGGCACACTCGCCCACCCACTCACTCACTGGCACACTCGTCCACCCACTCACTCACTGGCACACTCGCCCACCCACTCACTCGTCCACCCACCCACTGTCACACTCGCCCACTCTCACTCACTGGTACACTCGTCCACTCACTCACTCACTGGCACACTCGTCCACCCACTCACTCACTGGCACACTCGTCCACCCATTCACTCGTCCACCCACTCACTCACTGGCACACTCGTCCACTCTCTCACTCACTGGCACACTCGTCCACTCTCTCACTCACTGGCACACTCGTCCACCCATTCACTCACTGGCACACTCGCCCACTCTCTCACTCACTGGCACACTCGCCCACCCACTCACTCCCTGGCACACTCGCCCACTCTCTCACTCACTGGCACACTCGCCCACCCACTCACTCACTGGCACACTCGCCCAGCCACTCACTCACTGGCACACTCGTCCACTCTCTCACTCACTGGCACACTCGTCCACTCTCTCGCTCACTGGCACACTCGCCCACCCACTCACTCACTGGCACACTCGCCCAGCCACTCACTCACTGGCACACTCGTCCACCCACTCACTCACTGGCACACTCGTCCACTCTCTCGCTCACTGGCACACTCGTCCACCCACTCACTCACTGGCACACTCGTCCACTCTCTCACTCACTGGCACACTCGTCCACTCTCTCACTCACTGGCACACTCGCCCACCCACTCACTCACTGGCACACTCGCCCACTCTCCCACTCGCTGGCACACTCGCCCACCCACTCACTCACTGGCACACTCGCCCACCCACTCACTCACTGGCACACTCGCCCACTCTCCCACTCGCTGGCACACTCGCCCACCCACTCACACACTCGCCCACTCACCCACTGGCACACTCGCCCTCTCACTCACTCGCTGGCACACTCGCCCACCCGGTCACCCGCCCGCTCGTCACGCGTTGGCTCTCCCCGCTTGGCTCTCGCTCTCTCCTCGCCCGCTCGCCCGCCCCACCTTCTCCTCCTGCCCCAGTGCCCTGTTCACGCGCTTCAAAGAGTGCGGTTCGCGTAAACCATCACGAGATCTCCGGTCATCCTCGCAGCGGCTGATAGCCATCGGACCAAGGCGATCACTGCCACCGCGAGCTTTCAGATGCGCTTCTGTGGCCGTCTGGAACGCTCTTCCTTCTGATATTAGGCAGCCGCTGGGAGCTGTGCACTTTTAAATCATCATTTAGACTGACATACTCATTTCTTTAGAACTGCTTGCTGCTGTTTAGTTTGTCCTTCCCCGCGCATCTGCGATTAGCACGCTTGGCTACGTGCGGTGCGAAAGAAGTTGAGCGTACACACGGCATCATCACGAGGGGGTGTGCCACCTCCTGGGACGCATACAACCGGGACTTGTCACGGACAGGAGACACATGAAGAATATCTCACAATTCTGTGGGGGGGTGGGGGGAGAGTTACATTGAGAGTGAGTGCTGTATCACTCATAGTTATTATTGTAATTGTTGTAATTGTCAGAAAGCGAGATGTTTAATGTCCCCAGGAAGACACCACGAGGTTTGCCAGGATGGCATTGAAAGAAGGAGGGACGTACCTTGGTGGAAAAATCAGGACAGGTGGCAACCCGATTGAACACATACAGTAACCACCTATTCGTCATCCCGACCGATTTAACCTACGGGCTTTTTTTAAGTTTCACCACGTACACGATTGTCGGACGCTTTGTTTTCATGCAAGTCGTCGGGTTTTTAGCGTGTGTGTTTGTGGCAGCGATGTCGCGGTGGTTAGCGCCGCTGCGCTGCGAAACCCCATCGACCCGAGTTCGATTCCCAGGCCGACGCCGGTGACGATTACCTGAGCGGGTCCTGGGCCTCTCCTAGGTCGACTCGGCCTCAAATGAGATACCTGGGTGCGGTGTGTAGTAAGCATCGCCAATGGGGAGACAAAGGCGGCCGGGCGTGGTGCTGGCCGCCGCGACCACCTCGTGTGCGCACAGTGCTGGCCTTCGTAGGTGCTACTCGCTAACAGCACTTGTCCCCGACAATCTGTTTGGGCTGCGGGGGGCAGGTGGGGGGGTCTTTGTCTCCGTGTTGCTTGTTCTCGAGGCACAAAGAAGGCCCATGTTGGAACCTCACGGAGCAAATGGACAGACACCACCACAGCTGCCAAACCGGCACGGTTTATACCCCGTAATTCTTGTGCAGGGAGATTGAGTTTTCAGGTCCATACGGCGTTACAGACGTTTCTTAGACGGGCATTAAAAAAAAATGCGTGCCTATTTGTTTGTGTTTCTCCCTTTTGATGGGACTTTGTAGGATGAACGTTGAGATTTGTAAGGATACGGGGTGACCGATAAGGTCTGAAGGTAGGGCACTGATAAGAGGTTGACAGGTATGGACAAAAATTGTGCACACAGTGGAGTTGCTTGACCTCAAAGTAACAAACCCTGGCAAGCAGGCGTTTGGTACAATGGGGTAAAATCACACACAAGTGGTCATTGCAACCTGTCCATTCTGGGCGTACGAATTACATTTATACCATGGAGACTATTTGTGGTTGTGCAAGTAGGCAGTATCTTCTTGGTTCTTTCGGTAAAGTCACGTAGAAGGAAAATAATAAAATAATAAAAATTAAACATAATAAAATAATTCTCACGACGTTTCGGCCACAACGCAAGCAGCCGTCTTCAGGTGGAGAACAGGTCTGTCAGGTAGACAGTGGCCGAAACGTCGTGAGAATTATTTTATTATGTTTTATTTTTATTATTTTATTATTCTCCTTCTACGTGACTTTACCGAAAGAACCAAGAAGATGAATCCCTGCAGTCACGAAAGCTTTAAATCGAAATTTAAGTAGGCAGTACTTTGAGCGTTGCAACCTGGCTACCCTAAGTTTGACTCCCAACCTTTTAACCTTTCATATCGGTAGGCTCCGCAAAGGCTTGGAGATGTTAACTTCCTCGCCTGGTATACAGGAGGTCGTGGGTTCGATCCCGAACCTGACGCCTGCTGTATATTTGGAGTTTGCGTGTCTCTCTCTCATCATCATCACGGTGGCTATGAGATGTTAACTACCTCCACTGGTATACAGGAGGTCGTGGGTTCGATCCCGACTCTGACGCCTG